TCCAAAGAGGCCGCATCGCTCATTGTTGCATTACTCGCTGCCCTGCATGCGCCCATTAGCTGGAAAAAGGCACAGTTCTCGCGCGAAGTAATCTGGTGCGGCTGGCGTTTCTGCCTCAACACAGAAACTGTCGAGCTTAGGGAGGCCAAACTCTCCAAGCTCCGCGAGCAACTGGCGGAACTCAGGCAGCAAAGCAAGGTGCCTCGCAGAGCTCTTGAAGGTGTGCTTGGATTGCTCAACTGGGCCACCACGCTCAGCAAGCATCTCCGCCCCTTCATGGCACCGCTCTACAAAGACCTCCATAGTGCTAAGGGCACATTGCACAGCATAGCGCCCTCCATGTGGCATCTCTTCTATGATGCACTGGACGACCACGCCAAGCTCACGCGCACGCCCGGTGGCACATGGCTGCCCAGACAAGCGCAGCTCCTTGAAGTGGGTAGCATCAAAATACACACCAAAAAGGACGTGCCATTGGTGCCGCCGTCGCACAAGCATCAGTGGGTGCGCCTCGCTGACCCGCATCGCTCCGAGATCCACCTCCGCCAAGAAAGCAAGTTTGTCCTCGCCTGGCTCAGCCTTTGCTTCTCCCGCGAGCAGCCGCGATCGCTTCGCTCTGCTCCGCGCATGCATTGCTACAGCGCAGCAGATGCTTTCGCAGATGCGGACAAGATGGGCATCGGAGGCTGGCTCAGCACCTCCACCGCCTTTGTTTGGTTCAGCGAGATTTTCTCCGCTGAGGAAGTCCGGGCTCAATGGCCTCAGCTACATGGCTCAATGCAACCTTATATAGGCTGCTTTGAAACCCTCGCGCAGCTCGGCCTTGCACAGTGTTCTTGGCAGGAACTGCGCAGCAAGCACGTGCGCTTCGTGCTTCCTACGGCCTCCGACAATACTAGTGCTGAGAGTGGCCTCAACAAGCTATTCAGCACTGCAGAGCCTCTGGGCACCTTTCTCCGCCTCGCAGCCACGTGGGCTCACCTGCACAGAGTCCAGTTTGAAGTTGAACATCTGGCAGGCGAGAAGAATGTATGGGCGGATCGTCTCAGCAGAGGACGCCTAGCGTTTCTCTCGCACCGCTCTGCAGAGCGCGTACGCATCAGCCTTCCGCAGTTGGCCTCGGCATCACACTGCGTCACTCTGCATGATGCATCTAAGGAATGGCCTTCTGGGCTTCGCAAGGCTCAGACTGCAATGCTCCGCTGAGCAATACATGCACTGCGTGCTGTAGCTATCATGGCGCCTCGGCCTCTCGCAAGGCCCAAACAGCCATGCTCCGCTGAGCATCCTTCTTCTTTCTAGGGGTCCTGCTACCCTTACCATGTGCTGCCGCGCCGGTACAAAAAAGGTCGCACTGCGTGCTCTGCCTTCTTTACTGTTTCTTCTTTGAGCGGTTGCCCGCCAGGTACTCCTTGCCCTGCACCTCGCGCGGTGGGGGCTTTACAGTGAGCAGAGGTGCATGAAGGGCGTACTAAAGAGGGGGAAATGCTTTCCGGCATCGCTTTGCCCAGACACAAGTCTCTGCCTACATACGCAACGCACTTCCATGCACCATCTGCGGAAAAAGAGCGTTCTGCAATACATAGAGAACGCTAGCTGTGTGTTTGTCTTTTGTGTCAGCTGTGTTTTCTAGGTAGTGACTGAATCGTGCCTTCGCTACATATCGGCTCTAACCTAGAAGTCACAGCTACACACAGGGCAAAGCATTGCCTTCTTTTTCTCACCCACCCTCCACTCCCTGGGGGAAATGCTTTCCGGCATCGCTT